CGTCCACTGCCGGCACTGACAGACCCTGACAGACGGGCGTGCTGCCGTCGGCGGTCCTGACAGATGGGCGGCGGGCCCGGCTCCCGCAGCTCCGGCAGCGGGCGGCAGCTCCGGTGACTGTTCCGGGCCTCCGGCAGCTCCGGCAGCGAGCGGCGTCTCCGGCAGCGCTCAGCAGCGGCGCCAAGCAGCAGCAGCGGCTGAGCCAACAGGCGGCCGCGGAGGCACGCCCCCCCCCCGGCCCCCCCCCCCCCTTTGCACATTGTTCGTCCATGGAGATATCTGCAAGCACGACCATTGTTGAGAAGGCACGTGCATCCATGGCTGAGCACTGAGCAGGCACGTGCGACCCCTTTGCACATTGTTCATCCATACATATCAATATAATTTACCTTATTGATTAGTGTGAGTCTTGCAAAATCTTAAACTCAGAAATACTCCACAAGGCAGGCTGCCTGGGTGAGTTGCTAATATGAACATAATGAACATTATACATTAGTGCAGTACCTATAAGTATCCATGCTGTGTGAAGGACTTGGCCCTCACGTTCATTCGTTTGGTGATTGCACATGGTGGCATGTGTACCAATTGTTCTCCCTAACCCTTCTTACAACTTTGACTAGCAAGTAGAAGCTGGCAAAATGCAAGGAGCTTACAAAGCATGCTTATATGTAGATAACTGAGGATGATTCTCTCAATTGAAGCATGATCCACACTCATCAGCTTCTTCTGTTCTGTTCCACAAACTAAAACTGAAATGACTCAATTTTCCTCAAAATATATTCATTTATCACTCATAAACAACAAAAATATACATTATGTAGGTACCAGGGCAATAAGAAACATACAAGTTACATATTTTTTCATGTACAGTCCTTTCACAGCAACAATATGTAGAAACGCACCAAGACGTTCACGGAGAGCCCACCCATAACAAACTATAGTTGAAGCCGGGGCTCTGCTGCAGCAGCAGGGGTGACGTACAGGGCACAGAGGTCATGTCACATCATGTTGTACAACCTGTTGTTCGAAAAAACAGATCAACATTGATTTTGAAAAACTGTAGCGCTTTCTTCAGTCACTTAGGTAAGCTTCCTCGCAAGACGTTACATTAGATTCACCACTCTTGACAAAATAATCAGATTGAAACTTAGCTCTTGTGCCTGATGCAAATAAAACACTCAAATTTACCCTTGAAAATTGTTGACATTTAAATGATATTAACATCAAGATTTTGATGATCAGCAAACAAGCTATTCAAATCACACCCATATAATAACTTTGGCAATGTTGATAACTCTTGCTGTCTTATTGAAAAGCAAATCTTCAATTTGTTCATATCCTGATCCAAATCCAATGCCAAGCACTGAAATCTTGTTGCAAGGCCCTAAAAACAACAGACAAAAACAAAACAGTCTTGTGGAAATCGCCAGTGCGGTGCGGCGGCCTTGGCGAAATTTCCCAAGGCTGCTCTTTGTTTACATTTTAGCGATGGGCCAACTTGGCCGCCCAAGTACTTGTTTTGCGCGAGTAAGTACAATTTTGTCAATTTTGAAACGGCTATATCTCGCAAATTTTGGTACCGATTTACATTTTATGCATATCTTTAGAATCGGCAGAGTCTGGGGAGTTCATTGATTGGAAATTTATGCCGATTCCTTTCAATTTTTAAACCCTGATAATCCCTTTAACCTGATGTGGACGATAAAAGAACGCCATGATGCATAATCTGACAACAAAACATAAAAATCACTCCAAAAACACATTTTTGGCTATATCTCCCTAAAGAGTCATCACAATTTCTTTCTAGTCTGCTCATATAATGATCGTATAGTGCACGTTTTATAGAAGAGAGGATGTTTCCCCAGAACTTTGCCAGTTCCGAGAAACATCGGTGAGGCGTTTTACCTCGGCGGGGTGACTTGCCCCGGTCTACCCTACAGTATTTTGTGATGGCGATGAATGTTGCTACTTTTGTGTTGTACTATGATGATGTGATGACACACACTGCTTTCCGTTGCTGATCAAATCAATCTTGGAACTGTAATAGCCCAAGTGCATTGGTAAAACTTCTAATACAGGGTGTTTCTGAAAATGCCGACACATTCGTTTTGATATTTGGAGGAATTTATTACATTTAAATGCACGTGTTCAATACACGAGACGAAAGAATAGTTTTTTGGAAATTTGTTTGACAGCATCGGTGCTTTCATTCATCACGCCGTATTACTGACACGAAGGAAAAGGCTAAGATAGTGCATTTCTACTTTGAAACCAATTCAGTTGTTTTGACACAAAGGCGCTGATCTGGATCTGGATCTGGATCTGATTTGGACAACCGGATCTGGAGCGAGAAGGCCCAGGACGAGGTCGCAGAACGTCAGCTGCACCCGCCCCGATGCACTGCATGGTGCGCTGTGAGCAGCACGGGCATTATCAGCCCAATCTGGATCGAAGATGACGCGGGCGAGGTCCTCACAGTGACGGCGGAGCGCTATCTGCACCCGCTCAAGAAGTTCTGGACTGCGCTCCAGAGGAAGTGTGTGGATACCATCATCAACGAGCAGTGACTGCAGCAGGATGGTACCCCCGCTCATGCAGCCACTGTGACCCTACAGTGGCTACAGGAGCGCTTCGGGGGGGGGGGGGGGCTCACTTCCCGAAGCAACCCCACCAGGTGGCCACCGAGGTCTCCGGACCTCACGCTGGCGGACTTCTACCTCTGGGGTCATGTCAAGGAAAGAGCCTACAAGAGTGAACCCCGAGACATTCCCGAGCTGAAGGCTGCGGTCCGCGCGTGCGTGAGGGCGGTGACGCCCCAGGAGCGCCGCCGAGTTCTGGAAGCAGTGCGCTGCGCCGTCGGGCCGAACTCTGTTCGGCCAGAAGTGGTGGTCACTTCGAGCACCTGCTCTAGGTTCCGGGAAGGGGCTCAGATAGTGATCATTGGCGATGGATGTGAATTTCCAATGATGACTGATTAGTTGTAGCCTATGACAATGCGTGTGCGTCAATAAACATGAGAGATATAGGAGAAATAAATGTGTCAGCATTTTCAGAAACACCCTGTACAATGTAAATGAAAGTGATTGTATCATTTTGGATGTCACTATAATAGAAAAGCTTAAACTTTTTGTTATCCTTGGAGTGAGGTCCTTGTTCTTGAAAACCGAAGTCGCCATGGCGCTATTTTACCGATTGAGTGCATTACCTATAAAAATGATATAATTATATACTAATAAGCATAGCTATTGCAAAGAGTACGCTGTTTAACGTATGGCAATAAAGCTTTCCAGTTTCACTACATATAATAGAATAAATTCAGTATTCACTGGGTGTATTCGGTGGAGCTCGTATTTTACTTAATATCTTTGACGGTCAACAGCTAGTCCAATTTCATGAATGTCTGTTTGGTGGACTGGATCAAGAGGTTTTCCTCTCCACACAGATGAAGACTTATCACGAAAAAGCAATCATCAGGTGAGACTTTCAATTGTTCTTGAAATGGCGTGGATTTTAACAATATTCTTTAAGCAAACCAGGAGCGAAATTCGAAATCAAGTCCCCAAGCTGCTCTAGAAGAAAACATGCAAAACACGAAGTTCAAGGAGGTCCAGTTTTCGTGAAATTTCAGACTGGAGTTATTGACATGACCTGGCCTTACCATTGTATATCCCTCGCCGGCCGAGGGGGCGGGGGGCGGGTGCCGCCCCCCATAGGGTTTTTTTTCGCAATAGCTCCGAACACGCTGGCGATAGAAAGCTGAAACTTGGCATACCTGACCTTTGGTTAAAGCCGGATCTTTTGACAAAAAACGCATTTTTGAGTCAGGTCAGGTCACTGACCTATGACGTCATAAGTGAACCTCTGCACGGTCTTCAGAAGTCGCAACTTTGCAACGCCCTCACTACCAGAGGAGATGTAACAGGGAAATGAAACTTGCCGGATCTAGTATTCATTATGAGTCCCACAACTTGTATATCTCGGATTTTTCCTAAAGGTCATATGAGGTCAGGTCATTTTCGTGACCTCACCATTATAAGTCAATGGGGAAAAATGAAAACTGCTATTCTGGCGCCGGGAACGATCTCCAACTATCTCAAGCACACAGAATCGTGTTTTGATGCACTCCTTGCAAGGTTACATGCGTCACTTTTGCAATGTTGATCTTGCGTGACGTCATTTATGACGTCATCAAGGTCATATTAGTTTTTCGTCAATAACTCTTGATCAAATTGTGCTAGCGAGTCGGGAAAGCCCCCAATGGACTCAGGAAGACCTGCCGAATCGAATGATATGCGACATGACCTCTTTCGACCAACTTCGTGACCTGGGGGTGCTGACCTGACCTTGACCTGAGGTCAACACCCCAAGTTGACCTGACCCGGACAAAAAGTATATCATTCGACGCGCCCGAGCGAGCCGAACACGATGCTGCCAAAATCGCGGCTCTGCGGCCGTTTTTTTGCGAAGTTATTCACCAAAAACTGAACCGTACCTTGGGGCACTTGACCTGACCTCAGAGGTCACCGGTTGATTTAGGACCTTAAAACCGGGTACCAATCTCTCTGTCTCGTAACGGCGCACACGCTCGTTTTTTCCGCGACGCGCTAGCTCCACCAGGGGCGAAACGGCGAGGGGGTCGTACCCGTCCCCCCCCCCCCCCTCGGCCGGCGCGTATGTAGCAAACCAATAGGTCCGGCGAGGGATATACCAACTATTGGCTTCCTCTCGTCACGAGTAACACACTTACTTTTTCACGAAGTTCTACATAGTTTGATCAGCGACCAAAGGGCTGAGTGGTTCAATCGACCTCCCCCCATTCATGTAAGTGGGCGTGGTTTTGAAAACGTCTATACGGGCAAAGGCTGAAATGACAAACTGAGCTATATCAAATAACTCAGAAATATATCCCTTTTCTCTGATGATAAGCACTGACCCAAGGCTTGATGCGTCTCAGCTCTGTGTCCTTCCTGTGTAGTGCGTGCAGACTGCAAACTCCAATATTTTCACAGACATTTTATTCATTTTAAATTCGACGACACAGAAACAACATAGTTGCCAGATTTAACAATAAACCGACCCAATGCGGTTTATTTAGTTTGCACACAGATCACAGCCTACTTTCCGTAGCTGGCGCCGCCGACGGGGATGCCCTGTCCGATCAGCCCGCCGCCACCCTGCTGCACAGAGAGCGCGTCCGTGTTGCTCGACTGCTGATTGCCGAATATGCCGGTCGACTGGGAGCCCTGGGACGACGCCTGGTTGATGCTGCTTGCTCCCAGACCAGATGCGCTGCCCTGAAAAAGCCGTAGACGGTGTCAAAAAAATAAAACTTCCTCTCTTTTGAAAGCAGGGGTATCACAGTAAATTAAATGAATTTGTTTCCAAACACCTATCAAAAAAAGTTGATCTGCACTTATGCTTACCCCGGCGACAGCTGAATTCTGCTGAATCTGGGTAGATCCGAAGGGAGTGCTCTGCTGTGCCTGGAGCGCATTTCCCGCAGCATTTCCAGTGGCCACACCGCCGCCAGGGATAATGCCAGCGCCGTGACCGGGCTGAACCAGACCAGCCTGTCCCAGACCAGGCTGGACCAGACCAGCCTGTCCCACACCAGGCTGGACCAGACCAGCCTGTCCCACACCGGGCTGGACCAGACCAGCCTGTCCTAGACCGGAGTGGACTCCACCAGTCTGTCCCAAACCGGAGTGGACTCCACCAGTCTGTCCCAAACCGGAGTGGACTCCAACTCCCGGCTGTGAGTAGACACGAGAGGCCGCAGCTACAGCAACCAGGCTCAGGATTGCAGCGAACACCTTCATGATGATTCTGAAATAACCGTATAACATCGTCAGCGTCGTATAACGATCAGCCTCAGTCCGAGAAAGATCTCACAGTTTTGATTGATCACTGAGTGACTGAAAAAAACAGCACGATGAGAAACAGTCCTTATTAAAACTGCAGAAGTTACCGCCATTCACAATAAGATTGCAAATACTGTGCAATGTTTAGCATTTTTAGTTGATGAGGAGAACTCTGCAAAGTCTTTAGCAATGCCGAGTTGCGCTTGAAAGTGATGAGAATTTAGCACTGATGCGCATAGAAACTTTACAACCCAACACCAGAGAGGGGAATTGACTGAGTTGAGCTGAGTATAATTCACACCGTTTCTAACTCACCTGTCTGTTGGGATAGACCGACTCTGTGTCTGCTACAGCTGGGATTGATGCAGTCCGACGGGCCCGGCGGCTTTATATATCAGGCCGGCAGACCGGTGTGTGACGTCAGCACCTCCCCAGGTATATACGGCTGCCTTTTGGACCGATCATCATCACGGGAGGCTGTCAGGCCTGTTTGCTACACCCACGAATGCTGGCCTTCCAGGAATCGCTCTGTTTTCCGACTACGGCTACGCCATGGGTGTCGGCAGCGCGAGGGAATTTCCAGCGGCCAGTGCGCCACGAATGTCTCCGTGACACACTTACGCTGCACTTCAGGAAAATGGCGACTGTTGTTACATCGTTATCATGGCATAAACATAGGTTATATGTATTCTTTACGTGTGGCTTTTTGTCGGCACAATTAAACCGCGCATGGTTAGAGTAAATTTCACAACGCAGGTGACGAGAGGGGGTCTATACAGAGCTTTCCCTCATATCCCCGAAACTACTGGTCCAATTTTCAAAATTGAAGTGGCGTTTATTTGCCCTGTGAAAACGTCGAATGAAGCCTAATTTTGTTGACCTCGAGATCACCGATGCCAACACCGGTCAAGTCAAAGTAGCAATTATCAACATTTAGGCATGTTCACACATTCCATCTCCGGTCGCCACAAAAAAAATCGCATCAAACTCATAATTGGCCTAGCACTTACAAATATGTGCTCATAAGATGCTGTACAGTGTACACGCTTGTTTGTGCACTTTACACACATTTTATACACTTGGTTAGGTCACAAATGTTCACGAAAAGTTTTAGACCTGTTTGGGTCATATGGTACATCTTTCTTTTTTTCAGCAGGACTCGAAAATAGTGTCATCTGTGTCGTCGGAAGCCATTTTTAGCTGGTAAGAGCGAAGTCCAGGTCAAAGTCAGGTAAAAAAGTTCAAATTTTTCAACAAAAAGGGTCCCTATTAGATGCCTTTGGAGCTCAGAAACACGATGGTGCTATTTTTGGTGTACAATACTCAAACTAAAACGTCGTAGAAAGACGGGGAAAACGGCAATCGAAAGCTCTCAACAAGAGGGATCTAACAAGCCCAATATTTTTTGATTAAGTAGGTCAGAGGTCAGGTCGAGGTCAGGTTAAGGGTACAAAATGCAAGTTTCTACAATATCGGCCTTGCACCGTAGTTGCCGAAGAATGGACTGCGACTGATTGCCCAAAACGTGTTCTTAGGCTACCAAGACAATATTCGTTGCATACAATATCATTCAAAGGTCAAGGTCAACGTCAGGTCAGGTCAGATCAGGTCACCCATAATATAGAAAAGGGCATGTGCGACACATATTTTATGGGTCATTTTATTCATATAATTCAATAGGCACACTCAATAAGTGAAATCTCTGGATGAATTTCAGGTCGAGGTCAGGTCAAGGTCAGGTCAAGTGAGGTCAAATTTTGAAGTTGGTTGTTAAGGCCTAAAAATGTGTCTATCTGATGTAGTTTTTCACTGCGAATCGAATGGTGCTATTTCTTGTTTCCGTAAGAGGTCTAGAACTTCTAAAAAAATCATTTTTCAACAAATTTTTGTGTCGTGACGTCATAAGATTTTGAATAACTTTCACCTTTTTAACAGATTCTTCTAAAATTTGGTATGTACATAGGTGCACATAGACCACCTCTCTGACATATATTCCGTTTTTTCGATACACTGAAAATTTTGGATTTTATTTCTATTTTCCAAAAAAAAGTCATTTTTTTTAAAGATTTGGGCCAAAAACCAAAATTTTCAAAAAACCGAGATAGCAATTTGATAGACAAAGTAGAATTACGTATAATCTTTTTTGTTACGTCTTGATTCCTTTAAAAATGAAGATGTTAGAGGCGTTTGAAATTTTGCCGGTGTTTAGGCGAAAATGGCGAACATGACGTCACTAAAACGTCATTTTCTTAAAAAAAAGAATCCGACTGATTTTGCTTCAATTTTCAGAAAACGTCTTACATTGATGCATGATAAGGTACTGAAGAAAGTTTGACGTCGCTGGCGTAACGCGCTTAGAAGTTATTGGCGAAAACGGGAGGGGGCAGATTCTGCCCCCCCCCCCCAGCAGGGCGCGGGATAGCCTATAGAGGGCTTATACCTTGAGCCCTCTCCGTTCATGTGCGGGTTAACTGGTGAGGAGAACCAATTTCTACCTGAACTGTAAGGCTCACTTCCATTTGGTAAACGACCTGCTTTTGCTATATTTTTCTTTTTTCCATTTATTTACATTACCACATCACACTTTCTTAATTCTTTTGCATACTTTTTGCACACATTACAAACTTTCCACTTGCATTAGACTCACACACACATTTCCTTCCTGCCCGCCCCGCATCGCCCCTCGAATTACACATGAGCTCGTGCATTTGTTATCATGGTGAACTGCAGTTTGCATGATCAATTGCTAAGAGGTTAATTTTTTGTTTAAGTTGATTTTGGGGGCCAAATATATCAAACTTTGCATTTCCACAAATATGTAGAACTGCTAAGTTGTACTGTCTGATTTCATTCAGATCGCTTCTCGAGGAGTGCAAAAAGGCTGCCCCTGGCCGAATTATATCTCTCCCCACGCCACCGACATTAGGGTTAATGCCAGCTCTTGATTTCTGCAGCTAACTCGGCGTTCGCGGTTCCCGGTAACCTCGAGAGCACTTCTTTGGAAGTGTTTGCAAACACGGATTTCCTACGCAAGCGTGAGCCGGCAATCGCACGATCGGCACCTTTCAGAGAAGCTGAACCGTGCAAAACCGGTTGTTCAAGTAGCGCTGCGCGTTATGTAATGATGAAGTACGTGCCGAAGATCGTTGGATAGCCACTAAAAAACTGTCAAAGAATCGGACCACTTGCGTGTGCTGTTACCATGTACGCGTACAACGTAACTGGAATGATGTACATATATGGAATTTTTACCCACTCTGGGCTTCCCTGGTTCTAAAGCAAGTGTGAGGCCCTTACCAAGAATGAATGAAGAAGGTAGTATAAAAGCAGCGCAATCTGTTGGGAGGTATATAATTCCATCTCTCTTATTCATGGTCTCTCTCATCTATTCACAATTTGCGAGCAAGTGTGCACCGCGAGCCAGCGATTTTTATTATGCGCAAAAAAAAGAATATCAGGGATGAGCGCCCCGAGCCAGCCCGGCCAGGACCCGACCCGTGGCCAGGACCCGTAGCGCGTTTCTATCTCGGAAAACTCTCCATCAAATGATAAGCGCTTGCTACATTTGATAGCCCCATCCTTTCATTCATTAATTCAGCTAATTTTGATGCGTATTGGTGACCGTCACGGCACGTGTCACCTGCCCAGTCAGAGGTGTATGTAGGTATAAAATGGATCACCTTTCCGCCAACCAAAACTCAGCAACGACTGGGCCCGCGATGGCGCCCAAACTTGTCGTGTAGGTAGGCACACACCGGGTGATCGCATTTCTTTCTTCATCTTTCAAAACCACAAAATAAATATCGTTCAAACATGTCATGTGCTCTTTTCGACAAAGGAATGCCTTTGCCTATGCTGCAAGCAGTCCATGCAGATTGCGGGCATAATCAGCTTATTTTGTTTTCTTCAAAATTATAAGGCGATTCTCATGCTTGGTCGTTCCTCCGCAAGGAACGACCACGGGCCGGCAGATCAGCGGATTTTTGTTTCTTCTTCACCATGACACTGATCCCGATCTACATAACGAAATGTCATAGAACGATGTCAGGTTATGTGTTTAAGCTTTTGCCTTTTCGCAACAAACCAGCTTATATGTAAGTAGCCAACTGCATGTTGGAACCCACAACGATCCGCAATACATTATAGAGGAAAGAATTGAAAAGGGCGGGAATATATTCCAGACTGTCTGTGGAATGAGCTCACCTCGTTCGTTACCCTACGAAAAATAGTTTATTTCGCTTGCAAACTACGACATACTAGAATGAGATTATGTGAGACGTTAGGAGATATAAAATTCGCATATCGGCACACACTTACAGATATATCTGACCAGTTATTATATGTAGATGTTACACATATGCTTGTCCCGTTGCTCAGTTGGTAGAGCGTTAGACTCCCGGTAGTGAGAGCCCGGGTTCGAGACGCTCCGGCGCTCGATATTTGAGACTCCTGACGGGGATGGTCTGCGGTTGGTGGGAGCAGCCGCAGCCAGTTGAAGTCAGTTGAACAGGACGGGTCGTCTCCGGCTATGAGGGGCACGTTTAACTTTGATATCTAGATTCTCCCGATACCCGGAATTACGCGATCGAACGGTAGGGGTCGGGGTCTAGCCCACGAACGCTACTTAACGTGGGCCCCGGCTCTGTTCTATCAATCCGTTCATTCAAACATTCGAGCTAGAGCTATAAAAGAAAAGAAAATACCTTTAGCTACACTTGGCGCGTGCTTAATTCGAAATTGAGTTTGGAGCACCTGAAATTTGATGTAGTACCTAAATAGGTAAATCAATGTTCTTGCTTAAGAAGTTGCAAATATTGCACGGCATGTCTGAAAAATATATAATTTTACGGATCTCCAAACTCATAACAGCAAGCACTCTTATATTATTTTCTCCAGCCATCGACACGTCTATTGGCCTGCAGCAAAGCGTAGGCGTGTACCCGCCCCCCCCCCCCCACACACACACAATGTTATGTTACAATGTGAATGACCCGTCCAGTGTCCATGACTGCGTGTAACGCCGGCAGCACTGTGTCTGCAATCCACTGCCGCTTCCACGAATTATTGCCGGACCGGTTTGGTCCTCGGACGTGGCGTCTGCGCTCTGCCCCGGCCCGTCCCGATCAGGTATTACGGCCCGGGCGGCGGCGTGGGCGGTGGCTGGCTGCAGTTCGGTGAAAGGGGCTCCCCAGTGTGGCGGGTTTTCCGGGCCCGGCAGCACGGGGAACCAGCGAACCGACGTGATGTCCGATACTGAGTAATGTGTCCGGAGAATCTGATGATAGGCACTTTTACCACCTCTAGCACACTTCTGAAGAGACTGCATGAAAAGTCATCGGCTTGTAGAGCTGTGCACTGTGCACTACTTATGCATGCTTGTATGCATCAACAAAAGCCCAGCAGAGGTCATTAATTCCCATCAGCCAAAACACATTGGTCTTTCGTCCCTTTAGTCATGGTATTTCAAAATGCATCAATAACGCGAATTTAACTCCTTGCGGTGATGTGATGCTTAGTTTAATTTGTATTTTCATTATGCCCGCTTCAATGTGTGTGCGTATGAACGGAGTGCTTGACTTTTATCCCTCTACTTTTTACAGCTTGACCGAAGGCAAGGAATAGCAACTATGTGCGGATATGCTGGAATAAATTGGTA